ATTAGATATATATTAGGATTATTGGATAATAATAATAATAATAATAATAATAATAATATATCTGTATTAGAAAATTAGAAATCAACAAAAATACCCACACATTACAAAACTATTGAATTTTACATGGGTTAATTTCACAAACGGTCACTGAACTTACAGAAAAATTACAAAACGGTTACTGAAATTTAAAACTTTCAGTAACAATTACTTAAGTATTGGGACGCTTTCAAAAATGGTCACTGAAATTTAAAAATTTTTGAGCTACTTTTGCGGCAAAATTTTCGACCACTTTCGACTATCGATACCACAGGATTTTGATACCGTTGGAAAGCCTACAATATTCTCTTCAATTATAACAAAAAATCTCCCCCAAACTCCAAAGGATTCGTCCGGAATAAACCCACGAAGTTGGCTACCCGAACAGGCAAAAATCTGCCCAAATTTTCAGATTTTTGGTGGACTTTTGCGGCGATTTTTTGACAACTTTCGACCACCAAAATAGCCAAATTTTGATACCGTTGAAAAGCCCACAATGTCCTCTTTAATTAGAATCCAAATCTCCCCAAAACTCCCAAGAATTCGGCCGGAATAAATTCACAAAGTTGGCATCCCAGATTTTTGCCTTTTTGGGATGCCGACTTTGCAGGTTTATTTCGACCGAATCCTTTGGAGTTTGTCGAAAATTTTGGATGGTAATTGAAGAGAATATTGTAAGCTTTCCAACGGTATCAAAATCTGGCGGTTTTGGTGGTCGAAAGTCGCTGAAAAATTGTCGTAAAAGTCGCCCATAAATCTGAAAATCTGGGCAAATTTTCAGATTTTTTGGGGCGACTTTTGCTGTGATTTTCTGGTTGAATTCCTTGGTGTTATGGAGAGATTTTTATTGGTAATTGAAGAGGACGTTGTGAGTTTTTCAACGATATCAAAATTCGATGATATCGTTAATTGGAAGTAGCCGAAAAATTATCGCAAATGTAACAAAAAAAAACTAAAAAAGTGTTTTTCAATTTCAGTGACCATTTCAAAAACTTTTTAAATTTCAGTGACCATTTTTGAAAACGTCACAATACTTAAGTGACCGTTACTGAAAGTTTTAAATTTCAGTGACTGTTTTGTAATTTTTCTGTAAGTTCAGTGACCATTTGTGAAATTAACCCAATTTTACATATTTGGATGAATTTTCAAAAAAAAAAAAATTCATTTTTTCCCTTTTATATTCTTATATATTTTTTCGTCGGTCCGATTTTGTTTTAAATCGCAATTAAAATTCTAAAACCTAAACCAAACCATTTTGACAGGTTTGGTTTGGGTCAAAACCATTTCGTTGATTGAGTCCTCGTGGCACCAAACTGACGATTTCTAAAATACAAATTTTCGATTTGATGATTTTTGCTTACAGCCCTAGTAATAAGAATTCATTAAGAATTTTAGGATTTATTTCCCCTGAAGAGTTGTATACAAGCTAGATTCATTCAATGATTGTTATCCGTTGCTACAGAGAGCCTAATTTATCTTCCCATTAGGAGCATGGAATTTGTGCCATTGACTCGGACAATAAGTCCTTTATCATTTGACTTGCCGATTATGAATGAAACATTTAGATGTCACACTTTAGCCAAATTGGTGTCAATTCAAATTCTAACAAGAAGCAGGAGAGCAAATCAATTGAAAAATTTATATCACAAGCAACAAATCCTCCATAAAAGACCATATTCTCAACATAGAAATCAAATTGGAATGAGACCTTCCGGGTTAAATGGTTGAAACATTATCCAATGGGCACGAGATGCTATAAGGAAAATCTTGGAATGAGACCTTCCGGGTTAAATGGTTGAAACATTATCCAATGGGCACGAGATGCTATAAGGAAAATCTATCTTCTTTCATCACGGTAAGTGGATTCTTTTTTTATGCACGAGCATTTCCTTTTTTTTCCACGACTATAATTCTTCTATAAAGTTCATTAATATTTGAGCTTATTAGTTTACCTTGGGACAAATGCTTTGAAAGGCAAAAGAATAGGATAACCTTAATTTTACCAAATAGTGTTTTCAGCGAAAATCAATCCCCATTGTGTCGATGCCTTCCTCAATTTTTCATTCCAACAATCTCCATGAATAGAGACTCCATGATTTTCGAACAAATTGAGATAAGACATTGACCGCTAAAACACATTTGAATCCATTGGAAAATCAAAAGAATTTTAACTCTTTTACTTGAGCCAGTCCACCATAAGGTGCAGCAGCTTGGTCCTTACTTATTGTAAATAGTCATGTTTTTCTTCTCCTTCCACAAGTTTGGCTTTTCCCCAATATGAATCCCCAGTCCGTTCGGGGCAAACCATGCTAGTGTGGGTTCTAGTTAACATCATTTGTTTACATTGAAATTTAATGATGGCACGTAAAATTTTAGTAACATTACTTTGAAATTGTTATTATAATAGTAAGACACTTGAGTAACTTGATTATTAAAAAAATTAATGAACATTTCAAAATTTTTAACATATTCTCTAATCCCTATATAGACTGATTTTATTTTTCATATAAATTAAGAATCCTATTTAATGTTGTTGAAAAGGCAATTTTTATAAAAAAACTTTCATAATTTACTCTTATTTATATTTGTACAATATCATAATTAATTGGGAAAAATTAATTATAATTATGCAAATTAAATAATGACATATTATAGTAAACAAATAAAATAAAATATTCTCAATAAAAAAAATGACTATATAATTGGAATAAGAAAATAAGAGCTTGTTTGGGAGTAATTTTTCACTTCAAAAAATTGATTTTTTGATCGTTATTTCATTATTTTAGTCATAAAGTTTGACTTCTTCTCTCACAAATGGATCTCACTTTTATCATAATGATCACAAAATTAATTTTCAAAATCACTTCCAAACAGAACCTAAGAAAATTCAGTCTATATAAATAGAATTGAGAGAATACTTGAACGGAAATTAACCCGTTTTTCAAGCATACTCGAAAACTTGAACTGGACACGTGTTATGTGGATGAGTCATACACCTATAACCAATTGTTTAACATTTAAATGCGGCATCATTAGAACATTCTCGAAAGAAATTTGTTTACAGAACTTCCACCAATGACAAAGCGAGTAGATGAATTTTCCTAACCTCACACCAATTAGATTGCTTTGTGGAGAAAACAATTTTACACGCGACAACTTGGAAGCCACGAACGAGAGATCCGATGTACACCCACGTGTCAAATTATAATCCATTAACCTAATTCACTCCACAAATATCTTGTTCTGGGTCCCACCAATGTCCCGTATAAAAATCTTATTTCTCTTCGTAACATGTGAGGTTCATATTGTCCATTGGTTTATTTGGTCTTCGCCTTTCGACCACTAACCAAAATAAATAAATAAAGAAAAAGAAGAAAACCTTACTTTTTTTAAAATGTCAATTCTAAGGACGTGGCCAATTTGAGCCATGAACATTACTCTTCAAGATATTTTGTGCCCATATACATTTTATATCTCACCCTCATTTTGAGTATTTGCAATTTGTACCCTTAAATTACAAAGTACGTCCGAAATAAAACAATAATGTTGTTTGGTATGCAAATCACTAAGGTCGACTTTCACTCCAGCTCGATAGGCGTGTCTTGTAGTCAAACTTTTTCTCGCCTTTGCACTTGAGAGCCAATCGCCTAATTTTGTGCACCTTTATCATCCTTTGGAAGACTACTTCTCACATATACTATTTATATCATTGTGCCCGTAAATCATAATATAATGGTAGAATTTTAGCTTCTCTGTAGTTCACTGATGACTTGGACCCCATAAGAAGAAGGTATCCTTTGCCTTCCATTTAAGTTACGTAAAATAGCTTAAACACAATATCAATCCTAATTTTAATACTAGAGAATAATGAAACTTCATATGGTTTGCCTAAATAGTCCACATCTCCACGGACATGTTTCAATGAGCCACTCGATTGAAATCGTGCTATATTCCATGATAACTATATTAATAAGCAAACATAATACCAACTCCTCATTCATTTTAAAAACGATAACTCTTGAATTGTGCAATAAAATGATGACATGTTGGCATTTTTTGGCTTTTATGTGGTTGAGTATTAACATTGTTAACGGTAAAACAATCAATTCCAAGCTCAACTAACAATCAAATTTTAAGATTGATATTTTCGAACAAGTCACCATATTTGTAAAAACATGTTAAGGAAAATCTCATCACTTTGCGTAGAAGTGAAAACAATAATCAACAAAATATGGCTCATATTTCTTTCCTTGACACGATGTTATAGGTTATCGTTGTAAGAGAGTTGCTCCATCTTGCCTACAAGTTTTCAATTTTGAGGTGTAAATTGTCCTTATCGTATTTTTAGGGGCTATATTTCAAAGATAGTTCAAATTTGCAGTGCAAACTGCAATTCTTGAAATTAGTAGTGATGACAACAAATTAGAGCCATCAGATATGGACGGTTAAAGACCGCCTTAAAAATCACCATTGGATCAAATTCAAGAAATGGTTCTCCCATTTCAGATATTTTAGGTTGATGATGTCCTAAAACAACTAGCGGAAAGAAGAAAACTAGTACTTTATCCAATTGTCCAGGTGCAGAGGTTTAACTTCTACGTTTATAATTTCATGTCCTCGTTCTTCTAAGAACCAGAAGGAGAAAAATCTTGAAAATGGGAGAAATTGTGGCAAGCAGTGAAAATGGAATGGAATTGGAAGTGATGGAAACAGAGCAGAAGAAAGGTGCTGAAGAAGGTGAAGTTGAAGCTCCGCCGTCTGCGGCGGCGGAGGTGGGTTCTTCTGTAGTCAGATGGGAGAAGTTTCTTCCGAAAATGGTTATGAGAGTGCTGTTGGTTGAAGCTGATGATTCTACTAGGCAGATTATTGCTGCTCTTCTCAGAAAATGCAGTTATAGAGGTTGGTTTGAAATTTAAATACATTTTTTTCTCAGGAAGTTAAGTCTTTTGGAACATATTATTGGATTGTATCAGGAATGACATCCTAGTTTTCTCTTTGAATCAGTGGATACTTTGTTTTTCAGTTAGTTCAGTTTTGGTCTTTTAGATTAGGATTTCATTTATAATCTTTGAGTGTTTTGGCTATGGAACTGATTAGTACATTACAAATCATTTTTCGTCCATGATCGACTGGATATGGGAATGGTATTGAGTTTATAAGGATATTAGGCTGAGCTTTTGAGATTGAACTTCAAATTAAAAAGTGGTATAAGAGATATGAATTAGCTCAGTGGATCCAGAACATGACTCGAGAGATGTATACGGATGATCTGAACAAAGGCGTGGAACGATTAATAGCAATGTCTGGGAAGATCCGTAATTCGTTCTCAAGGCAGTTGTGTCCATGTAAGGCAGTATCCCTATATGCAGTGAAAAAGTAGGGCGTTGATATAGCTTTCGATCTTCCGTGGTTTGAGAACGATGAACGGATGGATAGACTAACGCTTGAGGGGGGCCGAAATGACAGGGCACTTCATCTGAGGGGATTTGTTGGAAAAAGGGCGAATAGGAGTTCCTCGTGGACTAGATATGGGGATAGGCTTGAGTTTATAAGAAAATTAGGATATTTTTCCTAGTATGTTAATTTCTTGAGATGGAATCCCAAACCTAAAATTATTAAGTGGAGTTGCTGCGTTAATTAAGAAATCTGCGGAAATGGAAGCACTGAGATGGACGCATATTTTAAAATTAGAACTATATTTTGAAATTTTCTTCTACTTGAGCAACTTGTTGAATTCTGGAAGTAGAAGGCCCAATTCTCCCATCTTTCCAAACTAGTTGAGTTGGTTGAGCTTGCAGCTATTTTCTTGAAATGTTATTTTTAACAAGACTAGCTAATTTGTAGAGACTTACCCCTTTTCCTTTTGGCAGTTACTGCAGTTCCTGACGGATTAAAAGCATGGGAGGTGCTAAAAGAAAGATCCTGTAACGTTGACCTCATTTTGACAGAAGTCGAACTACCATCAATCTCTGGATATGCTCTTCTTACATTAATCATGGAGAACGACATCTGCAAAAACATCCCCGTGATAAGTACGATACACGTGCAATTTACTTGATCTATATTAAGTTGGTTAATTATTTAATATTCTATATATAATACAGTTATGAATATCTGTTGTATATGATGCAGTGATGTCGTCGCATGATTCTGTTAGTACAGTCTATAAATGCATGTTGAAAGGTGCTGTAGACTTTCTTGTGAAGCCTCTCAGGAAAAATGAGCTGAAAAACTTGTGGCAGCATGTTTGGAGGAGACGAGCCGTAAGCATAATCCTCTACTCTTCTTCAACATATTACTGTCTGTTCACATGTTACAAGTACAATAATTCTGATAGAACCTTGTCTTGTTGTGTACCGTGATGTCAGTCAAGTAGCAGCGGTATTGGACTTCCTGATGAGAGCGTTGAGCAACGAAAAACAGAAGCCACCGCGGAGAATAATGCTGTCAGTAATCATTCAAGTGGTTCAATGGCAAGCATTCAGAGGAATAGGGAATGCATCGAGAAGGGAAGTGATGCTCAGGTAATTTTCATGTGTTTCGAGGCTTTTTCCTTGAGATTGGTTATTAGATCGTGAGCATGGGATATTCTTTAGACCTTCAGAATTAATGTTTGGGTACTAAAAGACATGAATATATTTGCTCCTATTTTTGTCTCATCTGCAGAGCTCATCTACAAAGCCAGAGCTTGAGACCGAAGGAGCAGACATTGAACATCTGCAAGGACTCACACAGCCGAAAAGGATTAAATGTCTTTCAAATGATATAAACGTACCAGCAGAGGAAGAATATTATCAAGAGAATAAGAATTTGCAGACGATTGATACTCGTGCTAGAGGTAATACTCTTATGGCTTGTTTGGTAAGATGGACTATAGAATACTGCTTGTTTGGTAAGATGGACTATAGAATACTGCTTGTTTGGTAAGATGGACTATAGAATACTGCTTGTTTGGTAAGATGGACTATAGAATACTGCTTGTTTGGTAAGATGGACTATAGAATACTGCTTGTTTGGTAAGATGGACTATAGAATACTGCTTGTTTGGTAAGATGGACTATAGAATACTGCTTGTTTGGTAAGATGGACTATAGAGTACTGGACAGTATTAAAAAAGAAGTGAAACTAGAATCTTGTCTAATGTATGTCCAGTCTTGTCAACATCAAGTATTTTATCATGTTTCTCAATAAAATTTTCAGCTTCATAGGAAGATAAAAAATCAACTCATTTATATACTGTTATTTCAAAAAATAGGATCACAGGCCGCTGCGAGCATGGATGCCAATGCGGTAACTCAAGGAGAAGATGAAATTTATGAAGATCACCTGGAACATGTTCATGTCATTAATGAAGCTTCTGAGAATAATCGTGTTCCGGTGAATTCTTGTAGCACCATTGACTTAATCGGAGCTTTTGATAATTATCTCAAAGGCACTTTTAGAGGTTCGGCTTCAAATGGTAGCACAAGCAAGATCGATCTCCTGCCGCTGTTGGATCTTTCCTTGAGAAGATACCATCCCAATGGCTCTGTGAATCATGCGAATGATGACAGGCCCATTTTAAACCACTCGGATGCATCTGCCTTTTCTCGGTGAGTTCCAATGCTTAGTCGTTCACTGTCTTTTGGCAAAAAAAAAAAAAAGGGGTTTTTTGAACGTATTACATTCTTTTATCTGTTCTTATTGTATTTCATGTGAGATCATTGTTTAATTTTGGTCAGCCTCGTAAAACATTTGATGATCTGCGATAATCTAACGAAATGACTAACATGCAGGTATGTCAACAAGCCATTGCAGTCCAATCATTCAACATCAGCTAGCACTTGTAATCCACAGAAAGACAAAACCAATTCTGATAAACAGTCATCCTGTCACAACCACGATTGTAACTCTGATACACACGGTCCAAACCTGAGCCCTCAAAAAGACGTCACTCTAGCAACGTGTCAACCTGGAGTGGCCGAAATTATGTTTCCTTATCGTCAGCAGACAGTATTGTTCCAACCAACCCCGATTAGAGGTGCAATGATCGAAACTATAAGCAACGGATACGGTTCTGGAATGCCTTCAGTATATTGTATACAATCTGGCCCCTCCCTACAGCAGAGTCGAGGTACTGTGGGGGCTCTCGAATCTTCACCTCCACTGAATCCATGCTGTCAATTAAATCATCAAACTGGGAGTCCTCTGCATTTCCAGAAAATGGATAGAAGGATCAATGATGCCACCAATCAGATCCACAACAATCCGGGGCCTACATTGGAGGATCAGGGGCACATGTCTTCAGCCACAGATCGGAGTGCAAATAGCAGTTTCTGTAATGGGCTGAGTCATCTTCACAGCATGGATTCAGGAGGCAAAATCAATGTAATTTCAGCTGTCAAGGCCACTTCAGAATGTGGCAATGAAGGGTTCATCGTGCATGAGGGAAGCTCTTATCGATCTGTGCAAAGAGAAGCGGCTCTAACAAAATTCCGTTTGAAAAGGAAAGACAGATGCTTTGAGAAGAAGGTATCTCGATATTTTCATGATCATTATGCCTATTTTATTTAATATTAGAGGTTTATTACATCTAAATATGGTTTTAGCAAATCAAGTACATGCTAATTCAAGATATATCAAAAATCAATTATGTTTTCATGAGTTGCATGCAGATTTAAAATTTCATAATTTTGTTGTGTTAAGATTTTCTGATCATCATAATGGTATACAGACACCGAAAATCAGTTTCTCTATTCATGAGAATTGCATTCATGGTACGCAGTGACACTTCTGATCAACACAGAATACTTAGAACTTCAATTCTCTCAGTGAAACATCTTCTAGTCATTGTGATCCATAATTTATTTTTTAGTCTCCAAACCTTGCAAAATGTGATCAATTTTCATACATTTCGTACATGTATTACAAGTAACGTTCGAAAGATTGTATATTAAACAAAGTTTATGCTGTGAATCATTTTTCGACTTTGTTGGCAGGTGCGATATGAGAGCAGGAAAAAGCTTGCTGAGCAGCGTCCACGGGTGAAAGGACAGTTTGTTCGACAGCTATCCAATTATCCTCAGCCAAGTGACTCATCTACTGGTTAGCAATTATAAATAGGTCGTATCTTAAAGGAAAATATCAAACAAGTTTCGGTGTTAAGCAATGGGACCGATCACTTCTCATTTTGTTGGCTTCCAATCTTGACCTTTCAAGAACAAACCGGGAAACAAAGGTACGAGGAAGTCTAATGAATCTAATGCCAGTTCCTTGCTTATCACGTTGTGTGACTAATCACCTTGTAATTTGTGTATTATATTTTGGTTTTGGGATTTTTTATGTTTTTTGGGAGGCATCAATTCCCTTTTTGTTCTATCCATGTACTTAGTTACTGCTACTAGTCATTTGTTGTGGAGTGATACTATTATGTGATAGTGACAATATACTAGTAAGTTTATTGCATTTTGTTTCGCGTTTTCTTCAAGGCTTCTCATTTGAAGGTGACGATAAACCGGAAAAGAAGGCTCATATTTGCTATTTTCACACACTAGTGAACGTGCTTGATTCGATCATGTTCATATTGAACTCGTTTTTACAATTAGATATGAAATTATATACAAAATATTCGAGATATAATTGGCAAACAGTTTGTAGTAATAATCTTGACGCTTGAATGGCAGGAGTGGTTTTCTGCTGGTGACTTCTGAGTGTGTGGCCTAATTCAAGCATAGAATGTTCTTCCACTGTACTACTTATCACCTATCACGGGGACACGTTAGTCACGTATTACTAGACACGACTTGATAGCGCTAAGAAAGATGAAGTTTTGAGTATTATCTATTGAATTGTTAAGTACTACGTACCAAATATGTCCTAGCACCGCAATAAATATTTGTTAATATGTAGAAATATGATAATGCAGCTTGGCAATTTGTGTTGGAATTTCTATTTTCTTCTATCATTGTGTATTTTTATGAAGGGATGTTTTAAGAGATTTAGAGAGAGTTTTGATTTTGTTAGCAAAGCTTTTCACTTTTCAATGTTCGTAAAATTATTATGTATTTTCCATAATAACTAGATTATATAATAAACAAATATTGAGTTGTTTTTCTTTGTTAATAATGGTCAATCTTATATATTAGTATTACCAAACAGACAATGGGTAATTTTTATTTTTCATTTTTTGTGGTATTGTCTCTTCGTATCATGAGGGCAAAATTTTGCAATCTTGTGATTGTCTGTGTGTCTTAAATTATTAATAATTAGAAAATTAAATGTACATTGACCTTTTAGCAAAATCTAAGGGCTGTTTGATATGCCTCTTTTCCATGGAAAATGGAAATTGATTTCCACCCTAAATTTTTTTATTTTTATTTTAAAGGTAATTTATTTTCCCACTTTTATGCCACCTCACCTATTTTCTAACAAATTGATGATTTTCTTTCTTTTTTTTTTTTTTTTTGACAATGAAAATAAATTATATCCCTAATTGTAAAAAAATATTCATTTAATCGACAATTTTCATGTATAACAAAGTCAAACGAATATTAAAAGTTTTTTTTTTGTTTATTTTGCAAGGGAAATAAATTCTATTCCCAATACCAATAAATTCTATTTTTCTAATCGACAATTTTCACGTATAACAAAGTCAAACGAAAACAAAAAAATACTTTTATATCAATATTTTTCACGTAGATAATTATATCAATGAAACATAATAATTGACAATTTTCAGTAAAATAATTTTTAGGTGATTTAATTTTTTGAAGTTCGTTTTTTTTCTATCCAAATTTTATCTTTGCAATTAAAAGGACCCTAAAAGGTGTGGAGTTATACTTGGCCTTGATCATTGATAGTAGTCGTTCCTTCAACTTTGACTGTACTTTATAATATATTAGTTTAAGTTGTAAGAGTTTATTTAAACTGTAAAAGAACCTTGTTATTTGTATATATTTACTATGATTCCTTGGTTTTTAAAAGTTTACGCGTGTTACTTAGATTATTATTATTATTATTATTTAACTTAGTGTGTGCTTGATTCTCATTTTTTCGAAAATACATTTATTTCTCTCTTCTTTTCAATCACACATTTTTCAATAAAATAATATTATACGTAAATTTAAAATTTTTCCTTATTTTTTAACCACTTATTTTCCACCCGTATACTATTTCAAAATGTATTTTTTATAATTTAATGGGAATCAAACAAATCCTTAAGCTATTACAGAGGGCAGATTATATTTGAAGTCTTGTCAAGTTTTATGGTGTTCGTCCCTTGCACCAGCAATTATAATTTACTGCTTTTGTTAATCGATGAACAAGTTATTTTCACTTCATTCAAATATTTTGTTGAAAGGTATTTTTAAAATTGTCTTTCATTCCAATTAATCGAGAATAGATGGACGGTAGTCTGACAAAGTAGACTACATCCACACGACATCTCTTTCTGCACTAGAAGGAAGGTGCCCATGATATTAAGCCTATGTTTGGGCTCCAATTTTTTTTTTTTAAATACATTTTTTCAGAACTTATTTTCAATCACAAATTCTCCTATAAAATAATTTTACACGTAAATAGAAAACTTTTTTTATTTTTTAGCTACATAATCTCCAAAAAATTACCATTTCAAAAGACATTTTTAAACAAAAATGGGGCTTAAACAGGGACTAAGACATGATTCCTTGTTCCCAAAACCACAATAAAAAAGGACAAAGGTCAAAAGGACTGGTCAGATGAGAAATCAATCGAAAGATAATCAATCATGTTATAAGAATAAAAAGTTTGACATTCTATTATCGAACTGATTTAAATATAGTTATCCGTCCCATCCAATCAACTCCACCACGACATCTGGTCAGATTCTTCTGTCAATGTAGCATTATTCAAAGATAATGGGGTCGATAATTTTTTTCTTTAATGATGTTCAAAATTTCAGTTTAACGCTACGACCCTTATTCCAAAAGGTAGAGATGAGTCCCCTAAGGTTGAAAGGGTTGAGCTATTTTTAGAGCCTGTCTCTGTTAATCGAAAGTGAAATTCATCCTGTGTTTTTTCCTTTCCATTCACTCAATTCTAAAAGGAGAGAATTTCATAAAGTCACTCTCTCCAACCTTTTCTATCTATCTTTAGAAGTAAACGTCTAGCATTTCCTCATGCTTGGTGCCAATGAGGTTTTTTTATTTGAGAGAAAAAAGCAAGAATATAGGCGCTTTAGTATCGGGCTCGGTTGTCAGGGCTGAAAAAAATGACGTCTTGTCCCAATTATTCCACGTTCCACCCACTCGGAAGAGCGACTGCTGGTGAACTTCAAATCTCCCAGACTGTAATATTATTTTCAAGATCCTTCTACTACACCCCAACATAAGGTTATTCAAGTGTTGTGCAATCAACTTTACCAACAAGCCATAAACCTTTGTATAGTTGATTTCACCATCAAGCCATATACCTTTTCTTAACTCGAAAGTTAACCACAGTATGGGACACATTCACCTGAGCCTCAGCGGCTCGCATAAAGTCAATTTCTCAGATTCTCTTTTCTACCTTTTGAGCTCCCTTTCTTAAAGCTTGACAAGTTCAAAGAAAGCAACGCAATGGAGACTTTGATTATAAATAATTTAACATTTCTACATAGACTTCTTGGCAAATCTTACAGTTAATCATCATACTCATGGAAACTCATTTGCTAATTGCACAATTTATCATGAACGGAAAAGGCTACTGCCCATTCTATTTCTTCCTACTTTATAAAGTGTGGACAACTTTTCTTTCAATAATTCTAAAAGTTTTTCCCTTCAGATTCCACAAGATAGCTATGGAGGCTGTGAAAAATTAAATCTTCAAGTTCAAGATACACTTGTAAATTCTATCACATGACAGCAACTGCATGCATATTCATGAATCACAAAGAGATTTTCCCTTACTGAGCAAAGTAATTGCCGCTATTTAGGTTTGAGAATCCTTTATCAGCCATATCATTTCGACTTCTCTGTTTTCTAAGTAAACTTCCCATTTTCTGCTCTGCAAATGTCTCAAATTCATGATAAATCTCCCAAACACTGTGCCAAGCAAGGACTCGACTTCAAGAAATTCAACAAGAAGCTCTTTGTTGCTTTCTCTACATTTCTGCTTACAGTTTTATCATTCATCTTGCTAGTTTGGCTCATCTTACACCCCACAAAGCCGAATTTTTCTCTCAAAGAGGTTGAAATCAATCAACTCAAACTGTCAGGCCCCTCCCTTCTCAACTCTTCAGTCCAGCTCACTCTCCTGTCCAACAATCCAAACAAGAAAGTCGGAATTTATTATGATGAGATACAAGTATGTGCATCTTACAAGAGTCAAAAAATTACACACGATACTTCTATCCCTCCTTTTCACCAAGAGCACGAAGAAACCAATTACCTGAGTGCATCTCTGGTTGGAAATCAGCAACCTGTGGCTCCGTCCTTCGGCTATGATGTCAGGCTTGATCAGAGAACTGGAAAACTGATGTTGACTGTCAAGGTAATCGGAAAACTTCGATGGAAGGTCGGGACTTGGGTTTCCGAGAAGTATAGGTTCAACGTAAACTGTGTAGCTATCATGCCATTTGGACCTATACCATCACCTCCCCTAAGTTCCAAACAGGGGACACAATGTTCAACTACCATTTGAATTTTCTCAAAACAACCAAAAGGATTTCAGAAGTGCTTATCTGTAAATAGCTTAATTGCATAATTTCCACACATTCAAAAAGGAGCTGCACTCAATACCCAAATTGGAGAAACCTTTATGTTCAGTCTTTGTTCCAGAATCTCTATATGAATATTGTCTTGAATTAACCTGTCTACACTACTTTGGCATATATTGTATAGATGCAATTTAAAATTTTTTAGTGTTCTAAGCAAATTCCAGTGTCTTTTGCATGTATCACTCCACTAGTCCACTTTGGAGTGGGGCAGTACAAATGGAAGAGGGGTAATACACCAAAGCAATATGCACTATTTACATATGTATTCCGGCTTGACAGTGAACCTGTTTGCGACTGTTTGCGACTAACCATACTAACAGCTAAAGAACAGAGCACACCACCCAAAAGAAAGAAAGAAACTATAGCATTTATCTTGCCAAGCCCAGAGTTATGGCCACAGTGTAGGCAAACATTTCCCAGATAAATTGACCACTTGAAGATAAAATCAAAGGGCTCAAATGCATAAAATATAATAACCTAATTCCGGCCATGTCGAACTCACAGTATATATTCTAAGTCAACTGCAAATTATTGAGACAGTTCTCAGGAAAGAGAGTTCTGATAACATGTAAAAGACATGGAAACTCGGGAATTTCAATTTCTTCAAGTACTTCAAAAGATATTGATCTGTGCAGGTAGTAGGTACATGTTGATTGTTAAAATCAGAAGCTTGCAATGAATCCAAACATTCGACACTTAGGCACCCATGAATCGTCAAAACTTAGAAAGTTTACTCCATCATACGAAAACACAGACGAACCATCCCTCAGAGCTGAAGTAACAATTTTTTTTCCTGCTATTTACATAAAACTTGAATAAAAAAATTTCGAAAGGCCACTAATTGCACCTCCTTCCAATGGAGCATTTCTTCAAAAACAAAATAGCAGGGTTGAATTGTTTCTTGTTACAAATTTGCACCTTTTCAAAGGAAAGATGGCAGTCTATTTCACATTCATCCCATATGTTCTGTGCTTATGTGTAGGAAGATGGATGATCATTGAAAAGATTACACAAGTGAAAACTACCCATTAATTAGAATCAATTTATTGACTAATGCCGCAGATTTCAAAGAAACCTTGAGTGGTACTCAAACTCAATTCTGGATTAAACAATGCAGTAATGTTCATAAAATTTCAGTTATTGCCAAATAATATGACATAGAGTATGCAAGTAACAAACTTATTTCTTCCACCATGCTCAAATTAAATACTTAAATTAAGTACAAGTGGTGTCAATGCTGGAGGCAGAATTCACTAGTCTTGTCATTATTGAAGGTACAGATTGGCTCAATGGAAGCGTCCCGGAGTTCCCAGTGGCGGAGGTAGTAGCCGGAGGGGGCGAGGAGGTTAGTGGCGGCGATAGGGGCGGGGTGGGACATGGGCTTAGTTGGGGGGTAAGTGTGTTCGATGGAGAGTGAAGTTGCGGGCTTGATGGAGTTAAATTCATCATCAAATTGAAGAATTTCGACATTTTTGTTGAATTCTTCACTGAAGCGGCTAACAGCAATGCGGGCGGCGGCGGCGATAGACACCGTCATGGCGTTACGCGTATATGGGTAGAGCCTAGGGAGAGTCAAAAGTGACACAGGTTTCCGATCGGAGGTGGGATTTTCGGGTTGAATTTTTCCAATTTTGCGGCAAAATTAGGTGAATTTCTGCCGAATAAACCGGAATTGACTTTCACATTGTCGGAGTAGAATGTTCAATTCTGAGTTTGGTGGGTGGGGTTGCTTGCAGTATGCAACGGCCAGCATTAATTTGAGTAGCGTTCACGGACCGTTGTCCTGTTGAAATATTTGACTATATTAATGTAAGACCGAATCAAATTCGATTAAAATTGATTAATTAGGTTGACCTCAACTACTATTTTTTTCTGTCTCTTACCAAATTAATGAACAAGAAGACATATAGATAGAAAATAGAGAGGCCCGAGTAAGGTCACAATTAGGGCCTAGCAAGGCGGAGAGGTTGAGACGTCGATGGGGGAGACCTAAGGTATGTGGCCACCATGTGGAGTTTGGTGTGGGCACAAAAAGTGGTTGAGTAAGATGACAATGAAGTGGTGAACAAAGCTTGGATTAGGTCATGGTGGCTCGGGACTGGGAGTTGACACGGTAGCAAAGACAATTGGGTGGGCCGTAGTGAGGGTGGCTAGGGCAACGACTCAAATTGTACCCGTAAGTTAGACATGTTTAATCGAATTTTATGTATTTGTTGAATGTCATAGTTGAATCACGGTGTCATCTACAATTTTGAATTCACTTTTCAATTCATGCATAAAAGTAAACAAAATATGACGACCGCAAAAATACTTTATTGTATAAATCGGTATACAAAGAGTATTTATTTCATTTTATTTCCTTATCAAACCAAATTTCATTACCCGAAAGGCCACTTGTGTAAGAAGAACAACAAAATACAACCTCAAAATCCCCAAAGGTTTCAACTTCACTTCAAAAGTTCCATGATCCATGAATTGAATGCGCAGCAAACCTTTCGAAAATCCCTAAATCCAGCCCCTTTAGCCAATGCCTTAAATTCTTTTTCTGTCCTCTCTTTCCCACCTGGATTGTGTGCCAACATAATTACATCAATATGGACAACATTCTTAGTAGCAAGTCCAGTGTCTGGTGCCTCTGGGAGAATACATTCAGCCAATATCACTTTCCCATTTTCTGGAAGAGCTTCATGGCATTTCTTCAAGAATTTCAGGCAGTGCTCGTCGCTCCAATCATGACAAATCCACTGCACGATCGTGAAAATTTCAAGATAATGTTAACGTTGTGCATGACGCAGATGGTGAAATGATATAAGCAATCCTTGGTCGGTCGTCATTTGTCATACCAACCAACCAAACAAGGGTTGAATACAAAGCGACTTTGATGGGGTGGGAAAAAATGTTGTTGGTTTTTAGTGAGGAATCAATTAAGCTCACCTTCATGAAGATGGCATCTCCTTTAGGCACTTTAACAAACATATCTCCACCAACATGCTCCACTCCTACATATAGCCAAGTATGTGAATTGACCAAATAATACGTTGTATATAGCATACTCGATATACCGTACTGAACATGAAGTACGACAATACAATAAACAAAATTATAGTATGGGAAGAGAAAGACCTGGATAAGACGGAGCATCTTCGATGACATGGGGTAGATCGAAATTAATGCCCTTGATGGAAGGGTGCTTGGAAACTATCATATTAAGTGTCGCACCAGTTCCACCACCAACATCAACGATGGATTTGAGGCCCTCAAATCCATTATATGTCTCAAGAATTTTTTTCATAGTAATGGTAGAATGATTAGACATTCCTTGGTTGAAAACCTTGTTAAATCTTGGATCAGTACCATGATAATCAAATGCTGTCATTCCATATGCTTTGTTGAATGGAATTCCTCCATCAAGAACTGCATCCTTAAGATAATACCTGGAATACAAGAAACTAGTTATGTAATGCGGACAAGATTCCTGAGATCAAGGAACAATTTGAACCACGTTGTCTAAAAGATTAAGTTGTTAGAAATGAGACAGATGATTTTATTTAGTCAAATGAAATAGAAACGAGTGTAATTAGGAAAATTTATAATTTAAAGTGAATTTTATATATAATTTCATTTGATCAAATCAAAACGTGAATATTTTTCTAAATTCAAATATAATCAGTCTATTTCGCACACTAACTAAGGTTAGGTTGTTTAGACTTTTTTGTAGTTTTAGGTATAATATTGGTGCATAAGAAAACAACCTATCACCAACCATTCATTCTTCAATGAATATTATTGAATACTAATGAAATTTTTAATCAAAAATAAATTTTCCATTTGATTTTGATCTCTGTTGGTGGGACCAAATTGAGTTGCTAAACGCAGTACGTAAGCCTGCTAAGTACTCCATTGGCAGAACTTCTCTTCTACTTCTTGTAAACGGAAGTTATATTAGGTCAGATTTCTTTAAAATCTCTTTTCGTAAGTAAGTTTGTATTTCCTTATAAGTGATAATACTAATTAACGTGCAAGTCGACAATCGGGAAAATAGTATGTAAATGAAAGATAAGTTCAAGTTACCAGCTCTCCATAAGGATCTTGTCCTGGTTCATAAGCAACAAAGGTGCCATGGAAACACCATCTTCATTCTTGGTCAAGAACTTACACACCGGTGCAAGGGAGTACAGCCTCTCGACGCTGCCGTCCGGCAGGGTTTTCAGGCTACAATTCAGAACAGAATAGCTGGTAAGTAGCCGGAGAATCCTATCCAGCACGATTTTCGCCTCCGGATTCTTCGTCGGAATCTGCTTAGCAAGTTCTGCAGGAGAAACGAAAGCGCCAGGCCCTGCTTTTTTAATCAGTTCAAGAAGGTCGAGTTCAATGGCAGATTTGAGAACCATGGGAAGTACAGAAGCACTTGCCAATTGCATGGAAAATAAAAAAGCCTCTTCTTCTGACGAACCCATTTGGATCTAGTGATTTCTTATTTGTTCTTTTGAGGGTTTAGCTTGAAAAATTGAAGGAGCCAAGATGGAGATAATTGGGGAAGTTGGAGTAGTATATATGGTGGCTTTTGAACCTACACTAGACCCCACAAAACTAACTATTGGAAAATTTTCACATTTTCTTGAAATTTATTAACTTTAAGAAAATTATAAGTTGGTCATATTTTTATTTTAACCAAATAATCATTTGAACCCATAACTTTTATTTATTTTTTGATCACTTCATGAACTCGCCAACTTATAGTCTCAAAAAAGTGTCAATTAGGACTAGTTTGATTTGTAGTTTAATTATGTCGAGAAAAACAATATTAGAAAAATAACAAGTAAATAATTGATCAAGGCAACTGGCTAAGGCCAAATCGAAAAGGCTTAATATTCATATTAGGCAAAAAAGAGTAAGGGAAAGAGGGGCATCCCTCGATCCAATCATCCAATTCGTTTCAAGAGACAGACATGATTCTATAGTCAAAGTAATTTCGTCACTTTTTGCATGTATTTCAATCTTTTTAAATAAGTTTATATAGTTTTTCAATCTTTTTTAAATAAGTTTAAATTATCACAACTTCAAGAACAAAATACATATAAATTGTCGTTT